CCTCGTCAGTATATCTTGCCTTAGACACACCGCTGCTGTTATACCTGCAGCACATAAGATGCTCATACACTTCTAATAGGGTACGGGAAACTTGATGTGACTATTTTCTAGTCGTTGCATTAAAATTTTTCGTTTTTTAGATAAAGACTTATCAACCATTGTTAGATTTAATTATGAGTAGTACTTTAATCTAAACTTTTTAATGCAAATAAGGATGTGAGTTCGAATCTCATTCAGATTCTATTTCTCATTTCCGCTCCGAGTTGAAAAACGATTCAGAGTCTGACGGCCTATGAAATGTAGCCATAAAAGCAATATGCTGAAATATTGCTACATTACAGACAAGAATATTTATTTGAACTAATTCATCAATAAGAGAATTGTTTCTGTCTGAATAAAAACTGAAGGATATTTCCTAAAACCTGGCCGAGGAAAATGGGTATCGAAACTTTAGATTTCTTTCGAAGTTTTCCTGTTGTTACTGAGATAAGAGACCCAACTGAATCAAATGAAATTTTCGTTGCTTATATTTAAGTTTTGGAATTTTTTTTTATTTTCTAAACCTGTCCAAATTTCTTAGACCAAAATAATTGTCTTAGTCTTTTTGCTATTCTTTCTTTTGTCATTTTCGCGTTCTCTTAATTATGATTCTAAAAATAAACTTATGTGAAATAGAATTTCTCTTGATTACATTAATACAATCAAAGTGGAAAATCGATGTCTATCTAATGAACAATTTTAGAACAGTATAAAGTCAGATGGGAAATTAAAAAAAGAAAATATAGACAGCGGGAATAATTCATCAGGAATATATCGTTAATTGTGAATTACGTTAGGAGATCAACTACTGCAGACGCCATCTGGTTTTGCTAGCGAAATAGTGAAATTTGTACGGAGAGACATGAGATTTATACGAAATCGGAAAACAATCCGTTCAGGAAGAAACTCGTATTCTTCAATGATCTTAGATAATTCTTTAGGAAAATCGGCTGCTGCTTGTTCGACAGCTGATGCACTTTCTTCTTGCTTCTTAATAGAATGATAACACTTAATAGACGACAACACAGTCACAGATGTTTTCATATTTCCTTGAATAAGATGACTTAAACTTGATTTTTATTTTTCGATATAATTTTACTTGACAAACGACGTATAATTGAGAACGACTTAACTCGAAATGACATAACCCGAGGTATACTTGTACTTGATTTACGTTCAATGCAAACAGATAGAATTAAATTTTGGAGTTTATCACCCCAACACATTCTTGGCCATGTACAGGGCGAAAATCCTTATAGAAAAAAATAAGAATTCCAAATAAATATTTGCTTACTTTTTAGGCTTGTCAACATTTACACATATAAAAATGAGTTTAACGTTTCACAACAATATAAACATTTCTTCTAGCTTAAAGATTTCTTTTCTTACGCACACATCACAGAGAGAGAGAGAGAGGGGGGAGAGAGAGAGAAAGAGAGAGAAAGAGTGAGATATACACATTTCTTTTAGCTTAAAGATTTCTTACGCACACATCACAAAGAGAGAGAGAGAGAGAGAGAAAGAGAGAGAGAAAGAGAGAGAGAGAGAGAGAGAGTGTTTGTGCGTGTGAGTGTGTGTGTGTGTATGTAGCGACACATTCTTTTTCTTTGTTCTTGCACACATTCACACATTTCTCACTATCATTTGCAAGTAATTACTTTCTAATGTACACACTCCCGAAACTCTCTCTCTCTTAAACATTTGTCTTTTTCTTTTCACGCGGGGAAAAGAGAGTTATCTCCTTCTAAAGCAGACTCTTCCTTTTACCCACATAAACACTAATTCCCGCTCTGCAAAGATGAAAACAGAAATGATAAATCCAGAACATCAAAACGAGGAAATGAATTTGTCCAGAAGACGAAATAAATTATCGCAGTTGTTTTTAAAATTTTGTTTCAAAAAATAATTGTAGGCGCCATTTTTTATTAGTAGAAATTCTCCCCCAATGGCGTTATAGTCTAGAAATGCAAGAGATGCATATCATTTCAATATTTCGTTAAAAAAGAAAAACTTTTGATCTGATGTTTTTTTGGAGGCTTTGCTTGACAAGAAGCAAAGGAAAAGCCCAGATATTCTCGCTTGCTTGAAATGTTGACAGCAAGAAATTGAAGAATAAATAAAAAGACGATAAAAGCGAAAAATAAAAAAAAACAGGAACTCGATATCTCACCAGCAGCATTACAAAATATTTTTGTTGTATTTGATGCTAGATATTCAGAGATATTTCTTTTTCTTGGCTTTTCTTATTGTTTATATCACTGTATAATTTTTGTCCCTGTGGTGCTCATAATTCTTCGCCATTGGCCACCATTATTCTACTGAATGGGTCACATTTGAAAACAGAGAAAACTATTTTATTGCGTAATCTCATTACTACTTCCGTTTTTTATTTGAAAATCTATTTTATATTTTTGCCATCGTTAAGATTTCATATTTATTCTCAAATTCAATCATTTTTATTTCAGTTGAAACCATCAGTCCAACCACCAAATGACTACGGTAATCATTAATATCTCGGTCACTTAGATTCATTTCATTGAGTCTATTGATAATACCAAAACACCATCAGCGTTCAGTTCGCCCTTGGAAAACATATGGAGATTAATAAATGTTGCAATTAACATCGAATAAAGATTTCCGTTTACAAAGAATTCGTACAGTAATTTGCAAAATGAAAAGGAAAGGAAATTTCTTAAAAGCTTTTTAAAAAAATTAAGAGTAAATTTTCAATTTAAGTCCTATATTTGTTTATGTGCATGTTTCTTCGAACGGGTATCATTATCTTTGTTATTTTGATTCCTATATTTCAGCTTCTGTGTTCTCTGTCTTTCCTACGCTGTATGTTACATTCAGTAATTTTGAAAACATTTAAATATAAACGGATTTGATATACACCCGAAGGTCGGGGAGTCAAACGAGAAAATGTATTAATCGAAACAAAAAGATGACGATACTAGTCCTAAAATGGCACTGCTTCAGCTCAGAATTGCACAGAACAAGATTGAGTTTTTATTCTTTATTTTCCCTCCGTCTGTTAAATTTTCTTCCTTTTTTTTTTAAATATTTTCCATTCTTTCTTGCTTCTTTCTTTCTTTCTTTCTTTCTTTCTTTCTTTCTTTCTTTCTTTCTTTCTTTCTTCTTTCTTTCTTTCTTTCTTTCTTTCTTTCTTTTTCTTTCTTTTTCTTTCTTTCTTTCTTTCTTTCTTTCTTTCTTTCTTTCTTTTCTTTCTTTCTTTCTTTCTTTCTTTCTTTCTTTTTCTTTCTTTCTTTCTTTCTTTCTTTCTAGCATGAATTAAAATAAATTTATGGGATTTCTGGTTTATGATTTAGTTTCAAATTTCTCAAATTTTGACAATTTTCAACGAAAACTTTTCCCATTATCAGTTTCAATGATAAACAAAATTTTTCTGATGTCTCAAGAGTTTTTCAAATTATTTTCGAATTTTTCTCATCGTCATTTTTCTTTTGGAATTAAATAATCGGTTTGATAGATGTTTATAAAAAACGGATGTGCAGGAAACCGCCTTTTTTTTGGAAGACGCATGAACTAACTTCAACCAAATTACATGCAAGTTTTATGGTCAGTGAAGTTTTGTCAAAAAAAAAAAACAAAACAAAAAACAAAACAAAAAACAAAAAAAAACCCGGAATGAAATAAAAAATTAAATAATATTTTCTATTTTATTTATTTCGGTAATTATCACCCCACTCCCCATTCTTTTTTTTCAAGCTTTAACATTTAACCTTTCCTTGATATCTGGCATTTTAGGTAACATAAACTCTTCTACAAGAATCCTATTGCTTACTATGTATTTTTGCCAAAAGGAAATAATTGCTGAAAAAAATGAGTTGATTTCTTTCATCTTTGATTAAAAAGTTTCTTTTTGTGTTTAATCAACAGAAATTAGACTTGAGAAAGGAGAGAGAGGTATGTATTAATTGTTTTCGTGATGATTAACGTCATTTGTCAGTCAGTTATGTGCCATGCGTGATACACGCTTAGGCGATCTTGCATCGTTCGATACATGACTGACTAGGCAGATTTATTGCCATTTCTTTTTGCGGTAGACCAGTTGCCATCCAAGGCTATAGATCACGGTCTCTGCTGCTATTTACAGATGGAGGAGGAAGTAGAGGATTTATTCATACATTTCCCAAGGGTATTAGCACGTAAGTGAATGTAATCGATTCGACTGGAATTCGAACACGGCTCTTTGATTCCTTAATCCGAGACGCTATTCATTACTCCACGGTACGTATTAGTGTGTGCACATTTTTGTGTGTGCACATGTGTGTGTGTTTATTCGTTCTCTGACGTTGAAGGCCAATTTTTTGGCCAATTGCAAAGAGGATGATTGCGATTGTTTGGTTATAGGAAAGGAACACGTGAAAATACAATAGAGAAAAGCGATCGACGACAGTTTCCTGAATTGTTTTATTTTAAAGAAAGGTTCCCATACTTTTTTTCTTAAAAAATATTTTTTCTTACGGACAAAAAATAAAGAAGAAAAAAAAATAGAAAAATAAGGAAAATAAAAACATCGGTCGAATTCGAATCGATATCACCGAAGAAAATGAAACAAGAAAAATAAGAAAGAAAAAAAGAAACTGAGTTGCTTGGTGGCTGAGATCGTTACGTTCTTCCAAAAAGCACAAGTGGATGGGAATGCAGATTTTCAAGGTAGTAAGGTAAAGCAATTATTTGATTGGCGCAAAGCAATCATTCTGTCCGGGATATGCACTCTTTATTCTTGCTATGCACTAATTTAGGATTAGTCAAAATGAGAAGGAAAGGAAGAAGGAAGAGAAAAAGGAAGGAAGGAAGTGAGAGAGAGAGAGAGAGAGAGAGAAAAGGAGAAAAAAAGAAGGAAAGAAATGAGAAAGCAAGGGGAAAGACAAAAAGGAAGAAGAGAAAAAGAAAAGTGAAGAGAAAAATGCAAAACAATAAAGAAAGATTGAAAATTAAAGAAAAGGGAGTTGGAAGGTTAGCAAATTGCAATTATATGTGGGAGTGCGCGTGCACATAACACAGAGAGAGAGAGAGAGAGAGAGAGAGAGAGAGAGAGACAGAGACAGAGAGAGAGAGAGAGGGGGGAACTCCAAACTATAGAGACATATCGAGACAGAAAGAGAGGGAGTGGTTTAAAATGAGAGAAAATAGCACAGTTAAAGGGGAGGAAATAAGAGAGAAAGATTTAGAAGTCCAGAAGATGAGAAAGCGAGTAACAGATGTGAACGAAGAACGCGCTCGCTCGCGTCACTAAAGTAAAGAAGAAGAAGAAGAAGAAGAAGAAGAAGAAGAAGAAGAAGAAGAAGAAGAAATAGCGAGCTAGCTAGCTAGATAGATAGAGAGAGAGAGAGGGGGGGGGGCGTGAATAAGTAGTAGAGAGTCTACTCTCCTCTTCTTTTTCATCCTTTTGGAAATAAATCCAGAAAACAGAAAGTTGGTATTTTTTTTAACCTCTTGAAAATCACGTGATTCAGCGTTTGACCTCGTCCGTTCGCGCTTTTTTTTATTCGATTTTTTCCCCTCTCTTTCCAATGGGGTTTTCCGATTTTTTTTTTATTCCTGTTTCTCAACCTGAACGTCATCTTTTTTTTTTGTTTTTATTTATGGCATGACACTGAATATTCGTTTGCTGATGGACACCTCTGAGGTAAGCAAGTCTTAATCAAATTACCCGGATGTTACTTGCATGAACCGCTCCGATTTCCACAAAGATTTAGTTTTTTACTCTTTTCAATTACGAGAGAGAGAGAGAGAGAGAGAGAGGGGGAGAGGGAGAGAGAGAAATGTCTTTACAGCCCTGGTAGTGCCTTTAAGGTATTGGATAGTTAATGATCACGCTGGATCATAGAAAGAAGAGGAATATGCAGCACACACACACACACACACACACACACACACACACACACACACACACACACACACACACATATATATATATATATATATATATATAAATAAATAGATAGAAAAAATATAGATAGAAAATAGATAGATCGGTGTGATACATACAACCATACACATGTGCAGTTTTATTTTTCACGCGCTTGGTTTTTCACGATCAATATGTCTGTAGCTTCTTACAGTAATTTATTGAATTTTGATCTGAAAATATCATTGTATAATGTCCGATGTGGTTAATGCAGGCGGAACAAATGGTTAATTGCATTGTCAAAATCGGAAATATATTGAAGGCGAAATATTTGTCGTGTTAAACACTTTTTTAATCATTAGGCTACGAACTTACTGATACACCCATATATATATATATATATATGTGTGTGTGTGTGTGTGTGAGAGTGTGTGTGTGAGAGAGAGTGTATGTGTGTGTACATAAATAGTGACGAAAGTAGCCAAAATATCATTGTAATGGAATGCTTTCTGTACACATTTTTCTGCCATTTTTAGCGAGTGTAGGTTAATATTCAAATGTTCCTGAAAAAATAAAATAAAAAAAGGAAATAAAAATATGAATGAAAGGGTGCAAAGAATCTGAAACACTTTCTTTTTTTTAATGAGAAACCATTTGGCTCGCTCTAAATGATTTCTTGTTTTTATTATGGGACCTGTTTGTGTTAAATGATTGCATGTAGCTGATTTTTTTAAAGGACAGGGACAAGAAGAGACTACTGTGTGTGTGTGTGTGTGTGGCGTGTATACTGGGTTACTTATATATTGTAGGTTTTAAACACACATACATACAAGAACACACACATATGTATACCTACACATATCGACGTAAAAACAAGAATGAAATATTTATTGTGGTATGTCCAATTAACACATCTACATCAACAAGAAGGAGCGATATGTTTATATGCATCTTTCCTTCACCTTGATTAAAGATGGCTGCAATTTATGCCACAATATTCATATGCCACAGTTATTTTTTCCTCCTCAGATCACTGCTGATCGTTACTCACTCCGACTGAACATGGCCAATTCACAATCTATGGCATTTCGGAGAAGCTTCTGAGTATGAAAGTTTGGGCTTTTATCAGAGACAATCAACCATTTCTTCTTACTCACAACTGCAGCGTTGAACTTATTAAATTGTAATACTGTAGGCCGGCATATTTGCTTACATTTGCAGCTGTTACGAGACAGTAGCTATCATTCACACCACATGTTGTTGATCATAATGCTTTGACTGATATGTGTGCATATATATATATATATATATATATATATATATATATATATATATATATATATATATAAAGGAGCCTTTAGTCTCGTGTTCAATATGAAATAATTAGGATAATGGAGGAGCTTAAAAGTATTTTTCAATGTATTTCTCCTCTTCAGGTAAATATCAAGGGCTGCAAATTCTGGGTTCTCTTAAATAGAATCTGATGGTTATTCCAGATTCTATTTTGTCGTTAAGGTGAGAATAGAAATTTATGAGATCATTTTTATTAGTTGATTTGCATGAACGCATAGTTTTGTGCTATCGTCACAACGTTGTAACATGAAAAGAAAGGTAAATATTGTTTGTTTCTTTTTCAGGTCTAGTCGAAATAATGGTGGCTACTCAGGTTCGTAAGGTTGCGTGATGCAGCAGTTTCAAAATGTTATTCGAGGCAGTGGTGCATCCTAACTGTGTACCTGGAGAGGGGTTACAAAAGTTGTTGGTGCGCGAACCGAAACAATAATCTCCTACGTATTCAAGTGTAGTAGGGAAATTGGTTGTAGAAAATAAATAAGAATAAATACAATCAGAGAAAAGAATGGTGCGGATTGATTGAGTGAAATCATTTAAGATTATCCCAAGACATAGCCTGTTCCGGTTTGCGCACTTACAATGTTTGCACAATCTCTCCGCCGTATACAGAATTGTGATACTTGCAATACAATATTCGGTTATTTAATGATCGCCACTCCGTACAAAATTCTGGCACATGCAGCTTAATTATCCGAAAGGCGAAAGGCGAAAGGCGAAAAGCGAAAGGCGAAAGGTAAAAAGGCGAAAGGAGAAAAGCGAAAGGCGAAAGGCGAAAGGCAAAGAGTGAAAAGTGAAAAGGCGGAAGACGAAAAGGCAAAAGGAGAAAAGCGGAAGGGGAAAAGGCGAAAGGCAAAAAGCAAAAGGTGAAAAGGCGAAAGGCGACAGTTGCCTAAATTTCTTTCAAACGTTGAACACTTTGTCTTATTGTCTACATTTTTACGCATTTATGGACAGAATTATTGCGCACGCGTCTCTGTGCGCGCGCGCGCGCACACACACACACAGAGGGTGCGATGGGTAAATTGTCGCCATTTTTATTTTTAATTTCGCGCAGGCGCGTTAGTTGTTTTTGATTTTGTCGACTGCCCGGTATAGTAGGGTCAGTTGGGCACCGTCTGTGAGAAAAAGAGCACCATGACGTAATTCAGTCTGCCAAAAACTTGGAAACGGCATGCTGTTCTGTTTGGTATTCATGCTGAACCTCCAACACGAACATTTCAGAGTGTTTGGGTGTCAATCTGGGGACTGTGTAGAGGATTAAGAAAGAGCTGGATGAGTCTAATGGTGATTACGAAGGTACGCCAGTTCGGAAAACTCACTCTGATCGTTCTGATAAGAAAAGAACACGCAAATTTGTTGGTGATGGCCACAGACTCAACACGGTGGACTACATTAAATGTCTTGAGTGCTGCCCTGGGTCAAGAGTGCTGCCCTTATGTCAGGCAACAAGCAGAAGAACCCAGTCAATGCTGTCAGACAATTTCTGTGACCACATCACCCCTTACATCTGACCACCTAACTCCCCAGACTGCAATCCACTTTGATTATTATGTGTGGGGTGCAGTTGAGCCAAACAACTCCTTGTAACACCAAAAATGACCTGAAGGCAAAGATTCTGGCAGCTCTCACCAACTTAAACAGAAGAGTTGCAGGAAATTTGGAAGCCGTAGTTGATTAAATAAATTTACTGTTTAATATTTCAAGATATTTTTGTGTAATTTTGGTAAATATGAGATGTCAGTGTTATTCTCATTTTTTCATAATTTTATCCCTCGTACGCTGCATATATATATATATATATATATATATATATATATATATATGCAGAGAGAGAAAGAGAGAGAGAGAGAGAATCAGTCAGAAAGCGAGGTATTAGGAAAGGCAGAAAACGCAAACTCGGATAAAATACACCCACCCACACACACACACAGAAAGAGAGTGACAGAGAGAGAGAGATAGAGAGAGCGAGAGAGCGAGAGAGAGAGAAAGATAGAGAGAGAGAGAGAGTGAGAAACTCCAAATTATTGAGACATATCGAGATAGAAAGAGAAGGGTTGGTTTAAAATGAGAGAAAACAGCGCAGTTAAAAGGTAGGGAATAAGAGAGAAAGATTTAGAAGTCGAGAAGATAAGAAAGCGAGTAAGAGACTAGGATATTTATATAACTGTCTTTTTCATACAACTATTGGCGTATAAAATATGCTATATATATATATATATATATATATATATATATATATAGTCGGGTTTCGATCCTAGCTAGAGGCAACCGGGTGTCAAGCCACACTGATGAGCTGTGAAACAGCGAAACTGTCTGTCTGTGGATGACATATATATATATATATATATATATATATATATATATATATATATATATTTATATATATGTATATATATAACAGTCTTTATTTGCATGTATTATATATAATTTACTGCTCATATATATATTTATTGCTCACACACACACACATAGGTTTTGATGTATACATAAGTATCTACAAGCCAGTATGGGTGTCTTTGAGATATCGTGAATAATAATGTGATTGATATTCATTCAAGATTTTCGCTCAGCTTGCTCGTCCCTAGCGATAATTCTCTTTCGCCATCTTGCGTCCCATCTACAAAACATAGTGGAAGAAGCAATTCATTGAAAATGCTTACAAGAGAAACAACGTTTAGCAATACCATAGCAACTCCACAGTTCGCATTGAAGAAATAGACACATTGTCGTTTGAATTCACTAAAGCTGATAATTGTCATTTATTGTTAGAAAGAATTGTTATTTTTGTTATTTTCTAAAGGGAAATGTATCTTTAAATTTGTTTTGAGTCCTGATTTTAATTCAATCACTTTTTCTTCTTAGTAGATACGTTCCCTTTTGACATTTTACAGCAGAAAATATTGAGGAAAAAAAGAGAAGAAAAATCCAGGAAAAATCGGATAAAAATGTGTTCGTCGTAAACAAATTCAGTTCTCAGTTGTAACTGATGATATTTCATTTTATGCTGAACTTTTTTCTGTTTTAAATTCATAAAACTGAAAGAGAAAACAAGAAATTACTTTTGAAAGGCTATTCTTTTGCTGAGCTCAATTCCAATGAGTGCCATTTGTGATACACACTAAGGCGATCATGTATCTTTCGATTGACGAGGGAGATTTTTTGCCGCAATAGGTTGCCATTTTTTTCTGTGGTAGACCAGTTGCCATCCAAGGTTATAGAACCCGGTCTGTCCTGGTATTTATCCATAGCTGGGGAAGAAGAAGAGGATTCAAACCTTTCCCAAGGGTATTAGCACATTAGTGAATATAATGGATTCAACTGGGAATTCGAACTTGCCTCTCCGATTCCGCAATCCGAGCCACTATCCATTACTCCAACGTGCCTCCTCTTCGATTCCAATGAAGTGCTGTTATAAATATTTTTCCACTTTCAGCTCTCGATAGTTTGGGGGAGTGGATAAATGTAATAAAATAATTTATCGAAACTGGAACCTTGCCAGCCTTTGTGCAAAGCTCCTTGACTAAGAAGTGGGGGGAGGGGCATCAATTGAATGTAAAAGAAAGGGAAATAAAAACAGAAGTGTTTTTTCTACTACAATGAATTGATTTGATAAACATGATTTTTTCATCAATGGCTACTCGAGCCGGTTGAAATCTGAAATAGTTGTGTTGATCGTCAAAATATGTCGAGTAAATCGGAGTCGACCTTTGGCTATCAAAATCCCCGCAATTCGAATATCAAGGAGGTTGGAAACGCGACACCAACAGTAGTAGACGTGCGGCCGACTGGAGAAAGAAACACGACGCCAGAGAGTCAGGGGACGCTGAACAGCAGTAGACGCGCGGCCACCTGGAGAAGGAAACACGACGCCGGGAAGTCGGGGGACGCTGGATAGCAGTAGACGCGCGGCCACCTGGAGAAGGAAACACGACGCCAGGGAGTCGGGGACGCTGGACAGCAGTAGACGCGCGGCAGCCTGGAGGAGGAAACACGATGCCGGGAATTCGGGGACGCTGGATAGCAGTAGACGCGCGGCCACCTGGAGAAGGAAACACGACGCCGGGGACGCTGGACAGCAGTAGACGCGCGGCCACCTGGAGAAGGAAACACGACGCCAGGGAGCCGAGGACGCTGGACAGCAGACGCGCGGCCACCTGGAGAAGGAAACACGACGCCGGGGGACGCTGGACACCAGTAGACGCGCAGCCACCTGGAGAAGGGAAACACGACGCCAGAGAGTCGGGGGATGCTGAACAGCAGTAGACGAACGGCCACCTGGAGAAGGGAACACGATGCCGGGGAGTCGGGGGACGCTGGACAGTAGTAGACGCGCTGCCGCCTGGAGACGGAAACACGACACCGGTGTGTCGCGGGACGTTGGACAGTAGTAGACTTTTCACTGGGTTCGACCTCACTGAAACCCTTTTATTGTAACTTCTTATAATTTGCATTATTTTTGTATACGCTGGCATTTTTCTTATGATATTTCATGTTATTTGATTGATATTGTTTGTAAACTTGATCTGTTTTCACACGATTACAATTGAGCCTTATTTTAGAAAAATGAAATTACTTGTCCACGAATTTATTTTCCCCATTTTATGGACGCACAAATCACTAAATTTGTGCATCTCTAATATTTAGTAAAAATTTGCATTAATTTTATTTTGATAAAATGGTTTTGGTTTTATATTACAGTACGCCTTGCAGCTCAATCCCCATTCTCCCCAATGTCGTTTAACCGATCCCTCCCCAAAAGATATAAATTTTTTTTTTTCATAAGACAAGAATAATTGCAACAAATCAATGACGTCATTGCACCTGGTGGTAAAGAAAGAATCATTCAACAGGAATAAAAGAAAAGAAAAAAGAACTCCAAAAGAACGAAAGGATTGGAAAGATAAGAGGAAGTTGAGGAACTACAATCGAAGAGTTTCCAGATAAACCATTCTGAAAATATAATATTTATTTTTAAAAACCGCATTACTTATGGTATTACTATAGAACTTTTGTTGTCAATGATTTTACTATGGAGATTTCATTGTTATTGACTTTAGTATGAGAATTTCATTGGCGATGATTTTTAAGATGTACTGCGAAATAAAACTCGTGTGGAGAAACGCATTTTATTTTATTTCTAAGAAACTGCCAGAGGGAAAATAAGATAAAGTTAGAAAAGAAATAAAAACTTTCTAAGAAATAGAGTTTGTAATCGACATAAGAAGAATCCAAAAAGAGATTACTTAGATGTAACCTTAAAAGCTGCTACAGAGGAAGCCAAAAACAAGTATGAAATGACACAAAAAGAGAGTCGCTTTACACAGAAATATCAAATGGTTCAATCCCACCAAATAATAAATTTATAAAAGCAAACATAAGAAAAACTATTCAATAAATTCATCCTTAAACGCTTTCTAACATCGGCCAAATTGCACGAAATATTCAGCTATTGCTGAATCGAATACATGTTAAAAATCCTAAAAACCCACAACAGCAAAATGGCGCCAGAAACAAGCGCAACTGAAGTATGAATGCAAACTAAACTTACTAGAAACTAACATAATATACTAAGCTACAATGACATGTAAAGGAAACCTAGAAAAAAGTACATAGGAATAATAGAAAGGAAAAGGAAAACCGAGGAAGTCCTGACATAGGAAATCATTTAAAGGCAAAAATATTCAAATAGCACAATCCTAACAAAAGATATATGGAAATTGTAAAAAGAAACAAGCGAAACCCCGTCAAAAATAACATGGCAAATAAAAAACAAACACACAGCTAGCTTCAAAACAATGCAGCCTTTGCCTAGAGGAGAACAATAAAATTAAATTTTGTTTGATTAAAACCCTGCTAACATTTTTCCAGATAAACTTCTAAAATGTAAACATAAAAAAGAAATTCCTACTACGCTACCTACTGTCATATGAATAAAATCCCATAACTTAAATAATATAACAAACTTTATTTCAAACTAGCAGCATGGCCCGGCGTTGCCCGTGCTTGATTCAAAAATCGTACGATTCATACAGCAATCGCTATCACTTGACTTAAATTATTTTTGCCCTTCCTTGCCTTTAAAGGAGTACCCTTGCCGTGCTGATGTTGCTACATGTCTTACGTCTTGCCTATCGCACACTGCGAATTTTTTCTAACCTCTATACTAAACATTAAATCTGTTACGAAAAAAGAACTAAACAAAATGAACACAAAACGATCAGCTTTAAAAAAGGACTCGTAACTGGAAAAACCAAATGAAAAAAGAATGTTAACAACAAATACTTTTTCACACCCAACCCAGTTCTGCGGAGTCAGAATCAACGTTGAGTTTAAGCAAGCGAATGAGCCAATTGGAGTAAAGTGCCATACAGATTTAAATTTTCCCACTTGTGACGAATGCAGCTATCGATTTTTTTTTGCATGCTAGCATGCTAGTTAACATTCGTGTCAGTCAGCTGTTGGCTCTCACGCTGGCCAGTAGAATCTTCCTGCCTATTCGTTGCAGCCAGCTATAGGCTCTCACTCTGGCCAGTACAAAATGACTGCAACTACATGAAAACTGCCGTAGAAGCATGAAAACATCGATTATTTCCACTATCGATGGGAGTTGGGAAATGCAAAGTCGGCCTTGGCCTTTCCACTAACTTGGAGCATGTGTATGTAAATTTGGGTGCAAATCCGTCGAAAATTGCGGCCGTGCATTCGTTACACACACACACACACACACACACACACACACACACACACACACACACTGCCTTTTATAGATAGAGATATCATAATTGCAAAATATATAAAACAAATAAATAAATGAAATATATAGAATAATACATTTAAGTAAAAAAAATACATGAGTAAACTAAATGGCACTAAATATTCTAATGCTCTACACAAAAGAACTGCGAAGGATCGGTTGCTTCTTTTCCCTAATACCCGTAATCCCTCAAGTGGCATATATATATATATATATATATATATATATATATATATATATAATTGTGTATTTGGCCAGCAATCCCTCCTTTATACAAGTTTCATTAAAGATGACTGACAAGGTACTATGATTAAGCTTTTTATTTAATTTTTCTTATGTTCATATATGTGTATCCTTTTCTGGACATAAAATGTGTGAAAATTGTTGAAACGTTTTATATATCTGAGCATTTTCGGATCTTCTATTAGCCATTATTAAGGATCTTTTTTTTTAAATTTTCAATTGAATGTGTTGATTTTTATATGTTTCTAGAGTGATGGGGATGTTTTTATTTCTATTTTCTAAACACGGTCAGCGCATTGTAGCCGTGTTCATAGTTGGTGCTATTGGGTGTTGGATTTTTCTTTTTTTTATTATTAGTGCTTCCATTATATTTATTTTTTATTTACATGTGGATGACGCTGTTAAATATGTTTTTTTTTTCTTGCCACTTGCGTTTTTTGAGGTTGTTCAACGCATAATGATTGTCTCCCTTTGCAAGATTAGTGTAACATAATCAACTAATTTGTTATTGTTAGACTGTGCTAATCTACAATTGACCATACAGGTTTGCTTAGTTGTTGTGATAGATTGACACGCGTGTTCGAGCTCAGCTGCCGTCAGTATTTAGATCTTCAAAGCTGCGGTTTTCCTGCTTTGAAGAGTGGCACAACACAATAATTTCCGCACATTTCCATAAGTTCGCCCTGAGTCAGACTAAGCTCTCGCTATATATATATATATATATATATATATATATATATATATATATATATATATATATATATATGTATGTCCATGAACATGGTTCTCCACTGCCTCTTTGCTTTATTTGAAATTTAAGCTGAGAAAATGCCGGTGTAATGAAAACAAGTTTGACATTTGGACGACTGATCCTCAGGTTTTATGCCGTGTAATCAAATATGGCAAACAGCAGAGATCTTATTTTTAAGAGGCATGCATTAGTAATTTATAGGTAACTGTGTGGAATTAATGATACCAAAGGAGATTTTTTTTTTTTTCACGAAGGAAATCGTGAAAGCTTTAGCACTCAACATGTAAGAGATTTGGCAAAAATAAGCACTTGGATATTTAACGTAATTTCAACAATCATTTCTCAGGCGTCATGGATAGATTTCAGTGCATATATATATATATATATATATATATATATATATATATATATATATATATGTGTGTGTGTGTGTGTGTGTGTGTGATTCACTTTTAGAATATTCATTTACCTTGCAGATCTGCATATATACAAATAAACAAACTTAAAAAATTAGTTTTGAAGCACTGACGAACTTTTTTCCCTGGTGCCCCGACTATGCGAGTTCAAGCATGTTACTAGATTGGCAACTAGGTCCCACCCTTTTACTGTTGAAATAGTTAAATGCAACAGCCACTTCTACTCCAACAGTTTCTTTTCTCGTACTTCCCGCCTGTGGGGCTCTCTTCTGTTTCCTTGCTTCACTGATAACTACAATCTTCAAAAATTTAAATGCAACGTCAATCGCCATCTATTTCCTTGAATCCCGTTCAGCTTTTATCCTTTCCTCGGACTCTGCTATATCCAGTCTTTTCTCTCGCCTTCCCATTCTGTAAACCCCTGCGTACTAGTGGCATTTCCGCCTTGCTTGATGCTGAAAGATTTAGAAAATAGAAAGCAAAACAAATATTACCACCGATATGGTGGCCACAAGGACAGAAGGCGTAACTGTTATTGATACAAAAAGCGGATTTACCAGAATTTGACTTAGGTTACTTATATTTATTTAAATATGCATTAGTATTCTTCGGAAAGGTATGAACCATTGCACTTTGTCTCATTAGTAGATATTAGTAGATATTTTATTAGTGTTTCATTAGTAGATATTAGTAGATATTTTCATGAAAATGTATATCTTCACTGGCATGTTAAGATGGTTTGCAATAAACAGAGTGTGTTACTGTGCTTTGGGGCAAACTATTTCGTGAAAACTAACACTCATGCTGTATTCTTCTCCTCCTCCTCCTCCTTCCCCTTCTTCTTCTTCTTCTTCTTCTTCTTCTTCTTCTTCTATCTTTTGTGTGTCTTTTTGATGTCCCTTATTGTTGTGGTAAACCCTCCTACAGTAGAATGAACTCTTCCTCCTCTCACAAATACAAACTGCAAGAGTCAGATACTGAAGAGTATGAAGTGGAGTGGAGTAGTAGATGCAGTACTAATCTACTTAATACTAACACTATTGTTTTGTATATATCTTCAATATACTTTTTCAACTTACCTTCGTCTTTCGTGTCTTTCTTTCTGGCCCCTAAACAGGCTACAACACTTATATTTCCTGTTCTGTCCTTCAGCCACATAATCTTTTTACTCACTGCTTTCTTCGGTTCCTTTTGCTTTCAAAATGTCCTTGTGAGTGTAAGAGTTTCCGTGCATTCTTTCCTCATTATGTGTTGGAGAAATTTCAATTTTCTCTTTCTGATTCTAACTCTAAGCATCTTTTTGTTACTCCCTCCCCACTTCCTTAAATCTTTTTTGTTAATTACTTACTCCGTTCATGATATTCACGGCATCGTTCTGTAGAACCACATTTCCATTGCCTCAAGTCTTCTCTTCATCTGTGAGGAAATTGTCCAGCATTCAATGCCACATAGGAGCACTCTTATTTTTGTTTCTAATGGAATATTCAAGTTTCTTAATACTTTGCTTAGCTTTTAGAAGGCATCTTTTGTTATTCCAACATACCTTTGGATTTCAGTGTCATATTTTCCATCAGCTCTTAAAATACTTCCTAGTTATTTAAATTTCTGTATTGTTTGATTTTAGCATCTCCAGTTCATAGTTCATATCTTTCGTCTTTTCTCTTGTTGACAACTAAATGATTAGTCCTTTCTTTACTACTTTGTTCAAGAGTGCTTTCAGTTTTCTTTTTATATTTGTTATCAACACGATGTCTTCTATTAGTCGTATTTATTTGCTTTCCTTTACTTTTTTAATCAGTTCACGCCAAGACGATAACGCCACTAAGTCAGGAGGAGCGGGCGATAGGCGAAACAGGCTACGTTGTTTAAGAGGTCATACAGTTTTCATCAACGTGGTATCATCTTATGATGTTAAGATTGTGCCGACAATAAATCCTGGTAGGACTTCTAGTTCTCTTTGGATTGTCTTGCTGTAAAGGTTCTCTAGATTCGGTGAGAGGACGCATCCTTGTTTTGTGCCCTTTTTGTCTATTTACTTATATATGTCTTTAGTTCATTTTCTATCTGGCGCTTTACTTTCAATATAAGTCCGTTATCATTCTAATATCCTTCCCAAATATAAAAGTTTTACCAGCAGCCCGGATCTAATTTTGACTGCACATTTATCACACACACACACACACACACACACACACACACACACACACACACACACACACACACACACACACACACACACACACACACACAAAAGGCATACTCCCACATAAAACGCAACCACCAACACAAAACGAATACTACTGTACAAAACGCATGCACACACATACTCACAAAACGCACACATACCAAATGTAACTGAAGTCCGTCGGGTTACAATAAAACAGGTTAATAGTATTTCTGCTGTGGTTTAAATCGGGTTTATTATACATGTTTCTACAATTACTTTCGACAGAATTGGCATTATATAACATTCTACTTCTATGTGCCATGTTCGTTCAAGACTTTGGCGATCATGTCTCTCCACAATTTCCTGTATTTTGTAGCTCTTAATAAATTTCGTCTTTTTGTTTACTTTCCTAAAATTTGTTCTGCCATCCATTTACTCAAACTTTCTACGTAGATTGTGGATTGTTTTCCCCTGTTTCTCTTTCCATAAATCTGTCCCGTGCGTATCAAATTTTCCAAGTCCTCTTTCTTCCTCACATGCGCTAGAAATCTCAACTGTATCTTCCTGATGTTGTGTATAAGTGTCATTTTGTCGCCATTTTCTCTAAAACTTTGTCGTTGCCAACATGTCTGGTCTATAGTATTCTCAGTGTCCTTCTGTAGAACAACATTTCTGTTGCTTCAAGTCATTTTATCTGTGAAGAGATTGTCCAGCATTCACTGCCATATACGAGGATTGATATTACATAACAGTTCAGTACTCTTTTCTGTGTTTCTAACGAAATATTTCTGTTTCTCAATCTTTTGAAAAATGCTTTTTGTACAAATGTCTTGTTCGCAACTATAAGGTTGATAGTTTTGAATATGTTGTAGCGTATGATGAAACAGAGGCGATCTTCAGGAGTTATATATATATTGATGACATTTTTCTTGAGGCAATTTCATCTCATGTAATTCGAGTCCGATTTGCTATAGTAAAATAAATTAATTAAGTTAATAAAATTTTTCTTCTGGTATAAATCAGATTTATTATTATGTCTCGCTCGGATTAGTTGCCTGTAAAAAAGTTTTAATTTTCATCGACGATGTGATTAGAAAAACCATTGTTTATTTTTGTTTAATATTTGGCAATTCTTTATAGAATGGTTTTATAGAGGAAGGTAATAATTTTACACGGTCGACCATCCGTGTACCTTCTTTAAGTATAGGTGTCCTCTTTGCTTCCATTTTTTCCTAAAACTTCCTCATTGCTCGCATGTTCAGTCCATGGTATACTTCTGTAGAGTCACATTTCTTCTTACCTCCTGTTTTCTCATCATTTGTGAGAAAATTGTCCAGCATTCATTCTCATACAGCACTATTTTTTATTGTTTTCTTGGTAGAACTTGTTGACCAACAACCGCAAATGTAACCAGTTGTATATATATATATGAGATTAAAAGATTGGCAAAGCATGCTACGCAGCGATGAAATTCTCAACTGTCAATTTTGAAATATAAACATTCAGGAAGAAGTTATCAAATGAAAGACATCGTGTGAAATTCCCGATTGGAAAATGAACGAAAAGAGGCAAATAACGGGGAGAGGAAAAATCTGTTTTCTTATTTCACAACCTGAGATTGATTAGAAAATGTCGACATTTGATGAATGAAGATCTTTCCTCCCCGGAAATAAAAAAATAAAAGAGCCTCACGTTTTCAAGTGAAGTCAGTTGAGTATTGTGGCGAGCTTCAATAGAAAATCAGGGAGATAACTGCACGAAGCAAACAACATACGCAGCAAACAGAAGAAAATAGCAAGCAAACGTGAAAGTCGATCGCTGATGTTAATGTGCACGGAGCTTCGATTAGGAGATGATTATAACGATATTCGGATTCTTCTCGGCACGTTATATGACGTCACTGCTTGCCTTGTCTGCTTCCTTCATTTCAAAGCTTTCTTTTTTTCCCCTCTGTGGCTGTGAGTTGAAACGTACAACATTTTTGTCTTTGATAAACGCAACGAGAATTCAGAGATGGACGATCACATTTAGTCGGTTGGTCCTTCTTTCGACAAAGCTCATCCCCCCTTTTCCTTTGAGCGCCTCTGCAATCGGTAAATTCTTCATTCCCAAAAGCAAAGAAACAGCAGGAAGAAGAAGAAGGAAAGATTGGAAGAAAATGCAAGGAGAGGAGAAGAAAAAAAGTAAGGCGGAACGGAGAAGGAGGGAAGACATGAGCAAGAGAGGGGAGATGCAAAATGGCGGGGGTGGAGAGAAAAAGGAGAAATAAAGAAGAAAAAATGCGTTATTATGATGGAGATATGCAAGCGAATAACTGAGAAGGAAAAAAAGGAAATTAAGAAGAGAAATAAGAAAGAGACAGCGAGTAGACGAAGGAAAGAGTAAGATGATGATGATGATGAGGAGGAGGAAGGGAGGAGGAGGAGGAGGAGGAAGGGAGGAGGAAGAGGAGGAGGGGAAGGGAGGAGGAGGAAGAGGAGGAGGAGGACGAAGGGGGGGAGGAAGAGGGAAAGGACGAGGGGAGGAGGCAAATAGTTAGGGAGGAGAAGTTGAGGAATGTCCTCATTATTCTGTTCAAGGAACTGTGTGGCATTTGTTGCTGAAAGGAACGAAGAATTCTTTGCACTGAAAATCAGTTTTCCACAACTGCCTGTGAGGGGGGGGGGGAACTGCATTCGTAGGATGTTAAGGCGCATCTGCCAAAAAAAAAAAACTGCTCTCTCTCTCTCTGCATGTGTATGTGTGTGTGAAAGAAAAAGAGAGCAATATACATTTTTTGAAAATATTGATAGGAATGAAATAGATAGGTAGAGAGAGGTGGATATAAATATTTCCTTTTGTCTTTTCTACACACACACACACATATATATATATATATTTCTACATTTATATATGCGTAGTTACATCATTCTGTTTGTAACCGAATGAGAAAAATGGATTTGTCTTACTTAATCTCCTTCCTTCTCATTGCATTTGTTGAACATTTTCCATGGAAATAGCAATCGAGTAACAAGAAGCTTGCAAGGTTTCGTTTGTGAGAAAGACGTTTGTAGGGTGAAAAATAATTCATCGCCTACAAGGCCACGCAGACGCTTTTGGACCCAATCAATACAACTCCAGCGAAGATATGGGAGCAGTATTGAATTTTCCTCTGATCTGGCTCTTGTAAAGGTAAAGGATATTGAGAGGAGTCAGGTACTTACTGGTCGGTAGAGAACTGGTCATTTTCCTAGGATCTTTAGCGACGGATCGTATATACGAGTTTCACTTGAGGACTGATGCGTGTTTTAGCTCCAAGAAGGCGTTCAAAATAAGAGGTCACCTTGAGAAAATAGATGTTCATTGCGAGAGACGAAAATTTAGGCGCTGCTCAGTGATGATGGAAAGGGCTATTGAATGTGACCAGCCAGGTTTATACCTCATTGAGCTTTTGTTAGAGTGACATCAGAAGCGATCTCAGCAGCCAGGCTCAGGTCATCAAGAATTTTAGAGGTGTACCTATATACTGTTGTATCATCTGCATAGACATCCACAGATGATCAGAGTAATAGTTGGAGCGAGTAGCGAACGTTGGGGGGGGGTGCCTCTATTAGTCTCATGAGCTTCGAATGATTGGCCATTAAAAATTACATTCAAGAAAGACTTGATAATTGAGAAGACTTTTTCAGTGATTTCATAGCCGGAGAGCTTGTATATCAACTCTCTATACCAGTATTTTCCAACCTATTGGACGCTCCCCCATTTTGGGCGCAAACTTTTTCGTCAACGCCCCACCCAGTCAAATTAAATTTCTGTTATTATACTGAATTCATCTTTCATCGTAAGATAGCAGTTAGGTATTAGTGCAAAAATAATTTTAATATTGTTTTCATTTCTGTTTTAAATGCCAATGATTAAAATACTATAAAAAAACCTTTTATTTAATAGTTTATCTCAATGTTTTCAATGCGATGGTTGACTTTGCTCCTTACTGGTTAAGGCTCTTAATCTAGGTTCCATGTTGCTTAGAAGTAATCGTAGATTTCCTCGTTTTGTAATTTGCAGACGGTTTCTTTGTTAAGCAAAAAACTGTGTCACTGCGTTGAAAGCACATTCAGCCATATTGGAAGTTAGAAAAGCAATGAAGAAAAGTTGGATAGCTTCCCACAGCTTTAGATACCTTTCAGAAATTTCTTTTTTAGCCAATATTGAATAATTTTTGAAAATTTGAAAAAAAACAAAAAAACAAAAACGTAAAATATACACCACCCACCTTATTATGTTCACCGCCCCCAAATGTAATAAGAACTCCCACTGCCCTCTTTCAACATAACAGAGCCCATAAGGAGGGCGCTAGGACCCATATTGAGAAAGACTGCTCTATACTATACCACAACTTGCCAAAGGCATTCAATATATAGAATGCGATCGTCCCTGAGATGTATTTATTGTCTCATGTCTCACTGGTTCTATGAGTAATATGTGTGAGATATACATGAGCGCTTACCAGCATTCTTGAAGACACAGCAGACACTTGACAATGATTTGGGGAGGAATTAAACAATTTTGCTATGATTGGTAGAAGTTAGGGTTAATGTTAGGTTAACTTAGAACTTAGGGTTAAAATTCTTAAGGACAACGATTATGATTTTATCTGGACTAGTAGCCTTGTCAGGCAGAAAACTTTTGATAAGTCTTGAGACTTCCCGGGCTTTGATAGAAATATTACTAAGGTTGTGCTCCGTGAGATAATGGGATCCAGAGAACGAGATGGCCTTTGTTGTCTAATGTGGAATTAGCGGCAAAGATCGTAGCGAAGAATTTTGTTTCCTCTGACAAGGATAAGATAACCTCAGAAACATTTCTGATCGTAGGAACCGACGCTTTGCCCTTCTTGAGAATTTTGTTTGGAGATTTTTCCAGAACTCATGTGTCAAAGTTACAAAACCTTCGCAGACTGACTTAGTAGGCTGGGTACCAATGAGCTTTAGCTCCGTGTGTGTTTCTATTGAACAGTGTAATCCAGTACCTTTCCAATATCACCTCATGTATATGTAAGTATTGAGCATTCTAGGTTTTAGTCTTTCTACTCGTTTGGGATTTTTGTCTTTGGACTAAGAACTTAAAGTATTTGGCGATTTGTTTCGTCTTCTTCTGATGTTTTTAGTTCTTTCTTTTTTTATTTCTAATTTTTTCCTCGGGTACCGATTTGTCCTGACATATCTGCAAGGTTTTACAGACGAGTACTACTACTACTACTACTACTACTACTACTACTACTACTATATATATATATATATATATATATATATATATATATATATAGTGAGAGAGAGAGAGAGAGAGAAAGAGAGAGAGAAAGAGACAAAAACAGAGAGGCAGAAACAGAGAGAGTGATAGGGAGATAAAGATAGATAAAGAATAGGTGTTTTAGAAAAAAAAAAGGGAAAATTCAAATGTTTATTTTGGAAATTTAAAACAAATTATCAAAGTAATCCCGAAAAACATCTGATTAAGTAAAATTTTGCTAACAAAAAACAATGAAGATTGCTGATTTTATCAAAGCTTCGAATTTTTATTCTCAACTTACTCAGAATAACAAAATAATCTTCCATTTTTATGCAAAAAATTATTCTGTAAGTATACTGGATCGGTAGAAGGTAAAGTCATTCAGTTTGGTGTAATGTAGAAAGAGTTCAATCTATAAACACTATCGCGGCCTTGTGCCATACTAGACTAATTTCAATAAATGGATTTTAATGTAGGCTTGTCATAGCGCGACCATTAACAACTTTGTTTTTATTTAGCGTAATGAGTTGAATCATTAATTGTTACCCAACTATTATAACCCTGTGCCAGACTAGACTGAAGACTAATACATATCTTAAACGCTTTCTGCTACGGTAAATAATGTTTAAGGAGTGACTCATATTAAAACCATAAAAGCATCTTCAAAAATCAGGGAAAAATCTTTGAAGAATTTGCAGGTAAGGCAGAAATTTCTCAAAGAATTCCTGTAATTTGTGTTTATCTTTTTCCAACAGTTATAATCCACGCCATATCTGCCGGCATTTTGACTGCTGCTGCTGCTGCTCTTCAAGATTGGAAACGTTCAAGAGGAATTTTTCTTATTTGCTTGTTGGAATCTTCATATTTCAAATATTTTCATGGCAGATATTCTATCTTTCATGTCTTCGGGACATTTTGTTGCAGATGTATGCGTGGGGTGTGCAGAAAGTGTGTTAAAAGAAGATAAGGCCGCAGAATTAGACGGGCGGGTGTTGGGGAGAGAGAGACTAAAAGGCTGAGCTGTGATAAAAGCAGAAATTTTGAATTTTTCTTTTATAATATTAGTAGGTAGACAATTCTAAAGAGGGAACACATACATAATATAGTCTGTAGAATCGTACACATTATCTCTCTCTCTCTTTCACTCCCTCTATTTCTGTCTGTCTGCCTGTATCTCTCCTCTGTCTCTGTCTCTCTCTGTCTCTCTCTCTCTATATATATATATATATATATATATATATATATATATATATATATAAAAGTGGACATTGAAGTCAACACCCAGAGGCGACAGTTTGCTTCATGCTAAACGCAATAGTCAGGCCATGTGCGTTGTGTTTTTGCTCGACTTTGTATACATATATAGGTCAGCGATGCATTGTGGGTATTATACTGCATTGTGGGTAGTCTATTGTATTATACGAACAGTTATTTTGGTGGGCGTGGTTTGTTAATTTGTTTATTAGTTTATTTGCTTATTTATTTGGATAAATTTATTATATATATATATATATATATATATATATATATTAATAATAAATATACATTTTCTCCTCAGCAGTAACACAAATCTGAGTTTCATGCGCGATGCAATCGTCAGGTGCTGATTGAAAACTGACAATGTATATATATATATATATATATATATATATATAATTCCATCAATAAAAATATTACTTTAGTCCAATGAACTTTTTGAGTGAGAAAACGCCTTACATGGAATGTTTGCCACTTTGTCATTATCTGACATTGTTCTGATATTCTGATATATATATATATATATATATATACCATCTTCTTCTCAACAATTTGCTGTCGTGGGTTTTACAGAGCAAGAAAGCAAATCAAAGTAAGGAACACACACACACACTGGCCACGCATAGAAGGTTCTTTTTAGAGAGAGTAAAAAATGACAGAGATATGAGAAAAGAAAGAGAGAATAAGAAAGAGAGAAAGAAAAGAGAGAAAGAGAGAGAGAGAAAGTCACAAAAAGACAGAGAAAAGAGAGTAAAAAGAGAGAGAAAAGATAGAGAGATAGTAACAAAGAGACAGAGAAAAATGAGAGAGAGAGAGAGTTAATATGAGAAAAAAGAGAGAGTAACAAAGAGACAGATAAGAGGGAGAGTAACAAAGAGAAATGAGAAAAGCGAGAGAGTTAAAAAGAAAAGACAGAGACGTGAGAAAAGAGAGAAAGAGAGAGTAACAAAGACACAGAGAAAAGAGAGAGAGAGTGACATAGAAACTGAGAAAAGAGAATAGTGTGATAGAGAGTGACAAAGAGTCGGAGAAATACGAAGAGAAAGAGGAAGAAAGAGACTGAGAAAAGAGAATAGTGTGATAGAGAGTGACAAAGAGTCGGAGAAATACGAAGAGAAAGAGGAAGAAAGAGACTGAGAAATCAGAAAAT